AAGATCTGTATTTTTCTTAGCTTCTAGATTCATAAAGATACTGGATAGAAACATGAAACAATATGATGTAGTTCCCCTGGGGGGTGGGCAGTGGGAACTGAACGGTGGAGTGACAGGATGCATGACAAAGATTTTGTTTCATCATGTACTTTTTTGTATTTTAGTGTTGGAACCATGTAAATTGAGAGAGACAGAGAGATAAAGTCTACACATGGGCATTAAAGTCACCTGGCTAGTAGGGACAGAGCTGGATTTCTAAGCTTTCCAGTGAACACGCTCATCAAGGAACCTTTGGGTGACAAGTTCATTTTCTCTGAATGCTCGTCAATGGGTGAAAAAGAGTAGATCCACTTAACAGCTCTATTTGTTTTCGTAACTTAAGAATTTGCCTTTAAGGTTTATATTCCCGTCTACTGATTATGAGAGGCCAGCCTCTCTCCCACCTGGCACCACGGAACACCTGAGAGCCTGAACTGTGGGTGAAGCCTCGACTCTCCTCAGTGTGATGACACTAGGTTTAGGTGTCCTGTGGGACTCTGGTGGGCAGCCCTTCTCAGGCAGTGCCATTTTTATCTCCTTGTGCACTTATTAAAGAACAAATTTCCTTTGAAATTACAATATTAAAATACAGAGCAGGGTAAGTTCTTCATTCAGTAGCTTGACTCTACCCTTTACATCTTAGGGACAGTGACTCATGGCAGAGCAACAGGCATCCACGGAGACCTGCAGCCTCCGATTAGTTTCATTTTGTCATTTGTTGCGTTGAGAGTCCAGTATGGGCTTTGCTGCAAGTTTCTCCTGTGGATTTTGGTTCAAAGTTAATGGGTCTGGGGAGGTGTCAAGTCATTTTGGATGCTCTCGATGCAAGACGATCAGATGCAGAAAGGGCCCCCGATAGATTTAGGACTCTGTTTTATTATTTTTTATCTTCCTGCTCTCACTGACCCTGGGTAGAGTTGCTTCCTGGCTGTTCTTCAGCTGTGAAACAGGGTTAATAAACCACTGATCCAACCTACTAGAACTGACAGGAGAAAGGGCTGATAAATTGGGTGTTGCCAAAGCATACAAATGCCAGTGCATAATAATGCTACATCTCTGGGAGAATGTAGCATCTGGGAGGTTCCTGAAAGGTTCAGAAAATGAGGGAAACAGCTAGCTGGGGCCCGCTCCTGAGGAGCCTTGGGAAACCTGTGGCCTCCTTCTTAAGCCACGGCTTTGGAGGGAGGCCCCAGCACCGCCTCTGGGGGTGGATAAATGTCTCCCAGTAAGAAAATTCCCCCCAGATTTCTCAGAGCTCTTTACATTTGTGTTATTTTGCTGGAAAAGAGAAAACTTAGAGAAACCAGGGCAATGGGCAACCAAATGCACAAAGCGAGGAGCACGAGCATGTGTGCACGTCCACAAATATTTGTTGATTGATGGAGAGGAAAATTACTAGTGGGGCTCAGGGCAGGATTCCAAGATTCCCAGATGTAAAGAGACTGAGGGGTCGGCTAACTACACATTCTGCAGAAGAGGAAGCGAAGGCCTAGAAAGATAAAGGATCTGAGTTTAAACTTGCAAGGGTAGCTGCTGATAACAGCCAGCCGAAGCCCTGGATTTCTGGGTTGACCATGCACGTCCCCTGCCTTCCTGTGGCATGGCTGGCAAATGACCTTCTGGAAAGAGCTTGCTTTGGTGATCAGAGCCCTGTAACCTGGTCAGCAAGTTGAGATCTACTTGACAGGGGACCCCCAACAGTCCCCAGTCTCTGATTGAGACAGGACATTCATTCATCTGTGGGTCTCGGAGGCACACAGCAATTGAGGAGCCAGAGAGCTCTAGATTTAGCTCCAGAGTCCCCACTCTTTTGTGGTGACAGTGTGGGTGGGAGATAGAAAAGGAAGGGACGCCGGGGGCAGTATGAAAGGTGCTCATGCTCCTTCTCTCAAAAATTCTACCGGGGCCCTTTTCACATCTAAGAGGGAAAACACTGAAAGAACAGAGAGCACCAAGGACTTGAAACCCGAAGTACTTTCTGTGCCTACGAACCATGACAAGCAGATTTTGAGAACTAGACAAATACGAAGTAAAGAGGTGGGAGTGGGGGAGGGTTGCAGAAATGCTCAGGCGAGGGCAATCCTACCGGTTCCAGTGGGAAACAGATTACCAAGCTATATATAGACAGAGAGCTTTGAAATACCTGTTTCTCTATCTCCAAAATAAAACTCAAATGCCTAAGCAGGGGCCTTCCTCACTAGCCCTTTCCAGCTTTTTTAGCGTACTTCTTGCTACATCCTGTCATATACCCTTAAGTTATAGCCATACCTGATTATTTGCTGGTCACTTAGCAGGTATTTATCGAGCACCTACTACATCCAAGGCTGTAGGCAAATAAACAAATAAGAATATGGCATGTTAAACAAATGGATTCATTTATTCCCATGTGACAGCGTGAACGTGCATAGAAAGTATTCTTTATCGGGCGCCTGGGTGGCTCAGTTGGTTAAGCAACTGCCTTCGGTTCAGGTCATGATCCTGGAGTCCCTGGATCGAGTCCCGCATGGGGCTCCCTGCTCGGCAGGGAGTCTGCTTCTTCCTCTGACCCTCCCCCCTCTCATGTGCTCTCTCTCATTCTCTCTCTCTCAAATAAATAAATAAACTCTTTAAAAAAAAAAAAAAGAAAGTATTCTTTATCTTTCCTTCTCTCTGGTCTTGAACCTGGTTTGCAGTTTTTCCCCTTCCTGGGGAAGAGCTGAAGCCCTTCTTTCCAGAACAGCCTTTGGCCTTTTGTGATAGAGAACTGGGAGGAAACTGGGAGGCAAGAAGAAAGGCCACTACAGGAGGGTGAAGGCCAGGGCTAGAGGAGTTTTTTTTTTTTTTTAAGATTTTTTTTATTTTTATTTATTTATTCATGAGAGAGAGAGGCAGAGGCAGAGGGAGAAGCAGGCTCCCCGCAGAGCAGGGAGCCCGATGCGGGACTCGATCCCAGGACCCTGGGATCATGACCTGAGCCGAAGGCAGACACTTAACCGACTGAGCCACCCAGGTGTCCCTAGAGGAGTTTTTAAAGGGCTGCAGTGTGTGAGAATAACTAATAGGTGAAGGGTTTTGAGGAGAACATGTTGTGGTTCTGTATCCCCTTGTGGGTGTAAAGAGGTTACAAGTGAAGACCTTGCATGGTTTTAGAAATTACTTTTGGTTTCACAGAAGGCATCCTTTTTCTCTAGACCGTACTCTGTGGGCCTGAATCTATATGCCTTTCCCGTTCATTAATTGGACAAATAGGGAGTGCCTTGATGTGTAGTCAGCATGCAAGGCTGAACAAAACAGATCTGGTCTCTCTCCTCCCGAAGCTTGAAAATATTTAAACAAACAGATATTGAATTACAAATTGTGATGTGTATTCTGAAGGAAAAGAAAGCAGCACAGGTTTGTGACTGTTTTTGGGGGAACTGCTTTATCTTTGGAACTTATCCCCCCTCTTCACCCTTAAGGGTCTTTTTCACTTTCAGTGCTGAAATGCTTTTTCTGATAGTGTATTCTATGAAAATGCTAATGTTATACTGAAAATCTTAAATGTCACCTTGTTCAGGATGCCACATCGGGTTTCTTATTTAGGCTGTCCTTTCCCCGCACATTGCTTGCCAGTCTTTTATAAAACCCAATTCATTCTCCCTTGTTGTGTACACTTGTTGTACTGTGACCAACTGTCCCACTTTGTCTGGACGGAAGGGTTTCCTGGGCAAGTTGGTCACCCTAATTTGTTGATATGTCTTTCTTTCCCCATTCCATGCAAGACTCCGGGAGGGAAGGTAATCTTTCTCATCTCTATTCACTCAGGGACTTGCACATAGAAATAGTGGTAATATTAACAAGAGCAAGAGTATTGACTACATTAATGGCCCTGTGCTTAACTCCTTATAAGAACCAAACTAACAAAGTAGGTCATTTCTCCTTTTCATAAAGAAATTGAAGCTAAGCTAGGTAAGCTAAGATTTGAAAGGGTGGGACAGAAGAAGAGAACTCAGCACTCACCACATTGTTAGCACAGTGGTTCTCAAACTTCTTGATCTCAGGATCTCTTTACGCTCTTAAATATTGTTAAGGACCCTCCCCACCAAACTTTTATGTGGGCTGTATCTACTGATAGTAAGTAACTATTAGGGATTATTATTTATTATTATTATTTTTTATTATCTTTTAAATATTTTATTTATTTGACAGAGAGAGAGAGAGCACAAGCAGGGGGAGCAGGAGAGGGAGAAGCAGGCTCCCCACTGAGCAGGCAGTCCCATTCCGGGCTCCATCCCAGGACCCTGGGATCATGACCTGAGCCTAAGGCAGACACTTAACTGAGTGAGCCACCTAGGCGCCCCTATTTTTTTTTTTTTAAGTAGGCTCCATGCTGTGCATGGAGCCCAGCTCGAGGCTTGAACTAAGGACCCTGAGATCAAGACCTGAGCTGAGATCAAGAGCCCCATGCTTAACCCACTGAGCCACCCAGGCACCACATAACTATTAGAAATTAAAACTGAGAATTTAAAAAATATTTTTTCATGATTTCACTTGAATATTAATGCGCATTAATATTAATAATACATTTTGTAAGTAAAAAAATCCGTTTCCTAAAATGAAAAAATTTTAGTGGGAAGAGTGGCAAATCTCTTCAATGTCTGGCTTCATAGAAAACCGCTGGATTCTCACATCTGCTTCTGACGTTCAGCTTGTTACTATACACTACTGCCTCCCTTCGCCAAACCCGCACTCGCGAGCTCTCCGCGAGTTACCCACGCGCTGCTCACCCTCGGACTACGACTCCCGGTAGAGCTTGCGGCACGGGGCGTGTGCCTGCAAAGCTGCGGGGAGCGTGGGTCACTCAGACCGAGTGACGGAAGTGGAGGGGGCGCGCCTGTTTTTTGGGTAGGTGCGGTGCGGCAATTGGAGGAGCCGGGAGAGGGGGCGGAGCCTGTGTTTGGGTCAGCCAATGGTTTGAGGTCTGGCGGAAGAGGGGACGGGGCGTGGCAGGGCTTACTCGCGGGCTGCGTGGGGCTCACCGAGCCCGGGAGTGCGGGTTTAGGGAAGTGGAAACGCGCAGTCTTAGGGCGGGGGCGGTCGGGTGCAGGAGATGGCGGCGCGATGGAGCAGCGAGAACGTGGTGGTGGAGTTCCGCGACTCCCAGGTGAGCCGGAGGCCAAATGGAGCCCTCTGGGCATGCGCCCTCATCCGTTCCCCTCCCCCACGCTGCCGGGTCCGTCTCGGGGGTGGCGGAGCGACCCTCCAGCCGGGGCTGGGGAAGAGGGATAAGGGGGTGACCCGGAGCTGTCAGACCCGAGCGGGCGAGGGGAGCCTTGATGACCTTTGGAGGCGGTTGGGGCGGGCACGGACGGGATATGGGGGTTCCCCGCGGGGGTCCGGGGAGTAGGGTCTGCCTTGGGACACCAGAGCGCAGAGACTGCGCGCGAGTTAGTGTTGAGGAGAGGCTTCCCAACACCTGGCTGGTGAGCGAGAGGGTTTGCTCTGCGAGGCTGGGTGCTCGAGGCTTAGTGACTTTGGATAAGTCGCAGAACTTCTCTGAGCCTCAGCTGCGTGGAGGTGACCTTCCCTCACAGGACTTTGGAGTGGATTCGATTAAAAGAAACACAAAACTATAAAGTGCCTGTTTCGCAGCTTTAGGTGGCTGCTGATGCTAGAATAGTGGAAAATACCAGATAGGGAGTAGGAGTGTGCGGGGCACGTATTGCCCAGGTTCGAATCCCTGGTGCGAAATCCGGGCTCAGCCCTAGCCTGCCATCTCCTCTGAGCGCATCAGCTTTCTCACCTGTCTGAAGGTGAGGGTCGTGCCTGCCTCATAGGGCTGCCGTGAGAATTTTATGATATATATATATATATATTTTTTTTTAAGACTTTATTTATTTGACGGAGACACAGCGAGAGAGGGAACACAAGCAGGGGGAGTAGGAGAGGGAGAAACAGGCTTCCTGTGGAGCAGGGAGGGATAATGACCCGAGCGGAAGGCAGACGCTTAACAACTGTGCCATCCAGGCACCCCGAATTTTATGATTTATTGAGGATATGTGGCACAGTGACAGGCACGTGGTTAGCCTCAAGTTACTTTAGCATTTACTAGGGGTTTTTTTTTTTAACCATTTTTGTATTTCGTGCCTTCCTAATGCTAGGCCTTATGCTAAGTGATTTATCTACATTTACCTTTTCTAATTCATGAAAGAACCAAGATAAGTCGATGTTATCCCTTTTTTCCAAACGGGGGAGATGATCCCTGTTTGGCTGATCTCAAGTGACTTGGCCAAGGCCTCCCATTATGTGGCCGAATCGGGATTTGAATGCAGGCATCTGGCCCCAGGGCTCTTGTTAGTTCTTTGCAGTACTTTGCTTCATATTATAGCAATCTGTCATACAGTAGTTTCATAATAAATACCCCATTTCCCCTTCCCCATCACCTGGACAGTGTCTTGGGTGATTCTCTCCATTTATTCAACAAATATTTATTGACTACCTTCTGTGTACCAGGCTTCCATCCACGGATTTATGCAACAAGAATTTACTGAGCCCTTGCTGGAAGAACACTGCACACTGTATCAGTACTCGGGTGATTTGTACTGAAGGCAAATCTGGATTACAACAAGGGGTGATGTGGTTTCTTCTTTCTAAAACTCCATCCCTTTTTTTGCCATAAAGATTAATGAGTGGAGGAGCCACCCACCGGTTTGCTCTGTGGTTCCCTCTGATACATAGCCCCCATGGAGAATTTGAGCGGCAACATTCGGATTAAAGGATTCTAGGGCACTTTGCACTGTCAGCATGGTGTCTCTGGGAGGCCTGCTGTCCCATGGGAGGCGCCAGACTCCTAGGGAAAAAGCACCACATTCCTGTTACCCTTCTTGTTAATTGCTTTCACTGGGGACTGGTAACAGAGTCATGTATAGTTACCTCTGAGCCTATTAATTTGGAAGCTACTAATCTGCAAATGCTTTAATTCTCAGAGAAACCCAGGTAGTCTCTGTATAGAGCTGTAATTGAAGAGAGCTGCAGAGAGGGTGCTGACACATGTATTAGGATGTATGAAGCAATATCAAATAATTAAGCCTCAACAGCAGTGGTCATAGTAAGAGAACAAAGTAAATTGGGTAATTTAACTGCCTTGCAGGGGCCTCTATTTTTCTTTCTGATTTTTCTGTTCAGTTGGAAGGGTACGACTTAGTTTGAATTAGCATGGTTTTGTGGTTGTTTCTGGTGGCCGCTGGAAGGGATCTAGACCCCCTTTATTAACTTTATTCATGTAGAAAGAAAAAATCAAAACTCTTCATATTGTCTTTCTGAAAAGGGAGGACAGAACAATATACTTTTCAAAATCCCCTGCCTCTTCTAAAAATCATTTTTTAAAAAATTAAAGCATTTTGGTTTTTCAGAGAAAAAGCCCAGCCTGAAAGGTGAAATTTTTTTCTACATTTCTACAAGTGTCATTCACTTTTATAAAACCATGCCTTGAGATTTTACTGTCACTCATTAATAGCAAAGAACCTGTGGTGATCCCTGGAATCGATGAATGTTAAGAAAACTTAGAGATAACTTTCTTTTTTTTTTTTTTTTTTAAAGATTTTATCCATTTATTTGACAGAGAAACACAGCTAGAGACGGAACACAAGCAGGGGGAGTGGGAGAGGGAGAAGCAGGCTCCCGATGCTGGGCTTGATCCCAGGAACCCAGGACCATGACCCCAGCCAAAGTCAGACGCTTAACGACTGAGCCACCCAGGCGCCCCTAGAGATAACTTTCTAGAGCAACAGTCTCCAATAGAATTTTCTGTGATGGTGGAAATGTGGCCATTGGACACTTGAAATGGGGCTAGGGCAACTGAGAAATTGCATTTTTAACTTAATTAAAATTGAATTAATTGCCATTTACATAGCCACTTTATCAAGTGGCTGTGCTATTAGAAAGGGCATTGGAGTTGAAATCGTTTCCCCTGGCAAAGAGGTAAGATGGCAGAATGTGCAGTTCACAAATCTCTAAACCAATGGGAAGAGCAGAAACAGTTCAGAAAGAGATTGTGATGAAGACAGGAATTTGAACTCATAGCAACAGTTTGCTTAATGTCTCCGCTTTGGCATCTGTGGGATGTCTCAAACTCAGTATTCCAAAGTAGCTGGCCCTACTCAGGGACCACTCTCCCTGCACCCTAGCTTTATGCTGCCTTCCAATTCATCCTCCACAGAGCCAGAGCAGTTTTTTTTTTAAACCAGGTTTATTGAAGTATAATTAATGTACAATAAAATTCCCCCTTTTATGTGGACAATTTGTTGAGTTTTGCCAATGTATATAGTTCTGTAACCAGCACCACAGTTAACATATAGCACTTCCTTTGACAGCTGCTGAGGTGATTTCTGTAAGACAAGGAATGTATGGTATAGAACCCTTTAAGCCTGGCCTCTCACACTTAACCCAGTGCCTTTGAGATTCACCCATGTTGTTGAGCATCAGTTAGTCTGGTCTTTTTTATTGCCCATCAGTAGTATTCCAGTGTATGGAGAGACCACAGCCTGTATCCATTCACCTGTTTGTGGATATTCAGGTTGCTACCACTTTTTGGCGATTATGATTAAAGCTGTGATAAAATATCAAGTTGATTTTTTTAAAACCTAACTTTAAGACCTAGGGGTGTCTGGGTGGCTCAGTCAGTTAAGCATCTGACTTCAGTTTGGGTCATGATCCCAGGATCCTGGGATCTTAAAATCTTTTTTAAAAAAATGATGAAAGCCTTAGTGGAGTCTGTAACACTAAAGGGGAAAAGAACTGTACATAAGCACTGTGCTCAGGTTAACAATTCTGAAACCACTGTACGTGTCTTTTGGAATGAACAAGTAAGTAAATGGATGGAGGATGGCAGGGGGACCCAGTTTCTCACAGAGTGGGAGGTTACCGATAAGCAAAGGGTGGAGCCAATGTCACTTGTGATAATGGATCAGAGTAGAAGATGTTAAGTATGAACTCATATTCAGCTTAGTATAGATGCCGATGATTACATATGGAAATATTTACAGATATATGTATACACATGGATTAGTACACACATACATTCCCTGTTTTGTCAGATGAGAGTACCTAGAGGCAATAACACCCCAAGAGCAGTGAGCACATCTAACACCAGATCTTGGTTTCTAATGTCATTCTCCAATAAAAGAAACCAGGGATCCTTAGAGAAATGGCTAATTTGGGGACTACAGCAGGAAATATACATGATAAGAGCTAAGCATCTTGTAGTGCCAGAAAATAAGGAAGTACTGTATATTTAAAACACACAAAACGTCAAATTGACTTTTTGTGTGTGTGTGTTTTTTTTTTTTTTAAGATTTTATTTATTTGACAGAGAGACACAGTGAGAGAAGGAACACAAGCAGGGGGAGTGGGAGAGGGAGAAGCAGGCTTCCCTCCGAGCAGGGAGCCCCAAGCAGGGCTCGATCCCAGGACCCTGGGATCATGACCCGAGCCGAAGGCAGACGCCCAACGACTGAACCACCCAGGCGCCCCGGAAGTACTGTATATTTAAAAGATATATAGGGGTGCCTCAGTGGTTCAGTCGGTTAAGCGGCTGCCTTCTGCTCAGGTCATGATCTCAGGGTCCTGGGATCGAGCCTCACATAGGACTTCCTGCTCAACAGGGAGCCTGCTTCTCCTTCTCCTCCCTGCTTGTGCTCTCTCTTGTTATCTCGCTCTCTCTCAAATAAGTAAAATCTTTTTTAAAATAATAAAAAATAATTAAAAAATAAAAGACATACAAACAAATGAAAACAGTGATGGGAGTATGTCACAAGAACACATGAACCCCCTGAAGAGCCCCCAATGGTGAAGACTGGGACAATTTGAGAAACAAAGTGAAATAATAAAATAAAGTACTACTGGATTATAATCCAATATATAAAATAAATATCTAAGAATTCACACTGATATAAGCAACTAATTGAAGAAAAAGAAAGAAAGAAGTGAAGGAAGGAAGCAGTCTCCACTCTTTAAGTCTGGGCTGCATATACTGACTAGTTTCCAAAGAGTACAGTATAGACAGAAGGCAAAAAGAGTGAAGCTTACAGTAGAGAAACCTGACGAGCACTACCTCAGCCGGGTCAACATCAACAGTGATATGTCATGTTCACTGTAAGCAGCCTT